TATTAATTTTGATATTGAATAATTCTGCTAATAATGATTTCATCGGAAGAAAGATGTGGTTTATCACTATCGCTATAGATAAGAAAAAAATTAGCAACGATCGACACAAATTAACAAAATCTACCTTTAATTGAATGAAAAATACGATATTTTATTTTATAGGACAGATGTTTGATCCCGTAAAATTGCAAATTAAAGTAGTGATGGCGTGTACACTCAGCTGATTTCAACCTAATCAGTTGATTTTGAAAAAATCAGCTCAGTGATAGTTTATGTAGATGTTTGCAGCGATCACATGATGGCATCGATGGCGTTACTGTGTCATCATTACATCATAATAATAAAAATCCTTGGAATTTTCATTATATCGAGATTTTCATTATATCAAGAGTTCGTTACATTCGTATATATAAAGAGGCATGGAATGCCTTTTTTTTCAAACAAATCAAACCAAACTATTATTTGCAATTAAATTTTAACTTTTAACTTATATAAAACCTTGTATTTAGAAATGGATCAGGTTGGAAATTGCTTTCTTTTTATAATATCGATATCTTCATTATCAATATAATTGATTCTCTTTTGATTAAACCTTTTATTCTTCTAGACAAAAATCCAACAAAAGCAGCCAGCTCCCGCCGAAATTCATACATCTGTCGAAGATACACGTAGGGTTGAGGAATTGGCTCGTGCAGAACGTATGCTCGATCCGAAAGCAGAACAGCATGCACATCATGAGGCGAAGTTAGTGAAACAAGAGTTGGAAAATAAATCAGCTATGGGCGAACAAAAATAATTACCATATTTATATTATAGTTGAGAAAGTTGTATCTATATATATATAAATCATATATTGTTATACATTATCGTAATAAAACGCGAATGATTTTCTTGTATAACGTATGCAAAGAAAACGCGTAAACTAAAATTATGAATGACCTTGATTCGCGTGTTATACATACAAGATACATTTATACACCTTTCAAAAGTCTAAATTTTTGAAAAATGAATTCCACGAATGCCCCTATGACGCCTAGGACATCTAGGCGCCACTCGTTTGCCACACCTCTTAAAGCCCATCGCGATATTCAAGTACTTTTAAATGACGACGCGTCCGAGAAACAGTCCCGGAGAAAGTCCCTTGTTGAAATGCGTCGAAAGTCTTCTCCTTTTACAACACCAACTAAAGCTTCTGGAAGTAACCAACAAGTGACAACTCCCAAAAGGAATGGTGTTAATTCAAGACAGTTGGAAGTTGTTACGCCGATTCCTAAAATTCCGGTTGAACAAATGTCTGTCAATTTTGAGGAGTGGATGAAAATGGCAACTGATAACGTAAATAATGAATAAATGGTCTGTTTGATCATTTTATTTTTATGGGTTAATATATATTTTTATTTTAATTCGATTAGAAAATCAATGCTAATAACAGTTGGAAACTCGCGCTCATTGATTATTTCCATGAGATGAGCTTATTAAAGGAAGGAGACTCTATAAACTTCCAAAAAGCTTCTTGTACACTAGATGGGTGTGTAAAAATATATACATCACGTGTTGATTCTGTTGCGTCCGAAACTGGAAAATTATTGAGCGGTCTTGCGGATAGTTCCAGTATGTCTATAATAAATAATATTATATGATGGATCTTATATAAGAGAAATAAGAAATAATTATTCTGTGCCTTTTTTAAGTAAAAGATGATGAAGCTCCAGAAAATGAAGAGGAAGAAAGAGAATCAGAAAAACGTGCTCGTAAGAAGGTGCCTCACAATTAAAAAATATTTAAATATAAATATCTATATAAAGTATCGTCAATTATTTATTTTCAATATTTTATATGCAGACAACAAGAACAGAAGCAACTTTGGTAAAAGATTATTCTGTCTTAATGGCGAAAAAATTGAATTTGGAATTCTCAGTCGATCCGCTGTTTAAAAAAACATCAGCAGATTTTGATGAAGGGGGCGCTCAAGGATTGCTGTTGAATCGGTTGTCTGTAGATGATGACGGAAAGATAATTTTTGATGCAAGCGATGCTATCGCCGGAGACAACGAAAACAAGAATATGCCTTCCGAAGGCAATGATGATTCTGATCTAAAGATTGACATAACGAAACTTCGCTGTGGGTATATATATTTTAACATAAAAAATATGCTCGCTTATAAAGTTATCGATTTTTTTACATTGTATGTTGTTCTCTCTTAACATGTTGTTAGTCGAATTCCTTTCCGGACTTCAGGGAATATTTAACAAGGATCTCGTGTGTTCCTCTATCTTGGATAAATTTGAGTTTTCAACGGAAAATATGATGACATCGATGCCAGAGGATAGGGATGGAAATGATGGTGATGATATCGAAGAAGGAATTAATAATCAAGCACCAATTAATGGTGACACTGAAGAAAATGACTTTTTTGAAGATAATTATGAAACACTCGGAGATGGGTTTGCTGAGGATATTATTATGGAACAAGAAGACTTGGAAGGCTTAGGAACTCGAGAAAATATTATAGAGACTTCTCAGCGACGCTTATCACAAAGAGAATTTGTAATGGCGATGACTACCAATCAAAATGAAATGTTTTCTTATTTTGATTCAGCATTCTTACGCAATTGGGCGGGTCCAGAACATTGGAAAATGAAACGTGCGGCAAAAGGTAATTAATTTATTTATTTATTGTTTCATTGAAATTTTCTCATCATAATTTCCTCTTATCGGATTTTATTGTTTATTAATAGAAAAGCCTCAAAATGCTACTAATGATGAATCCAAAAAGAAAAAAGAAAAGGTTTCATCCGTCATCAATTTTATCGAATCCGATGAGATTGATGAAAGATCAATATTTGTAAAAGGGGGAACCACCATAAATTTAGCTAAATCTGCTGAATATGGTTCCCGTAATTATTTACTCCCGGACGATATGCAATTTAACTCAAAAAAAATGTTCCGCTTATTTTTGAAACCGGAATTTACGGTATACTTAAAATCCTTACGGTTATGTAATCTATTCATTGATTTATATCCATAACATTGCAATATTTCTTTTTCAGATCGAATTGAGAGGTCGCTCAGGATCTGCTGAAGGTTAATTCTGAAAAAAGAGCTTGTGTATTTTTTAAAAAAATTTATTCTAATTATTATATTCAAAAATATAGTTGATAACAATAATGATGACAATAATAATAATAATTGGGAAGAGCAAATGGAACATGGTCATATAGATGATGATCAAGCATCTTTCCCGGATATGAGTAAGTTTCAAAGTTCAATTTAATAGTAATTTATCACAAATTATTAACTGGATTATTGTTATTATCGTAGCAATGGTTACTCATGGTGAAACATTTTTCCGAGAAGACGAATATGCTTCTGAAGAGGCTGAAGGGGATTATGGTAATCAATTAATATCCCAACCGAAAAGGACTAAGCCAGCTTTTGTTAAATATGCTAAGACAGCAAAACGAGTCGACGTCAAAAAATTAAAAGACAATATTTGGAAAACGTTAACCGATTCAACTGATAAGGTAAATTTACGCATTATTTAATAATATAGCATCGAATCTTTTAATAATAAACAATCTTTTTTGTGATCTAGACAATAGCAACTACATCCACATCAGTTGCAGTACCTAAACCTGGTGATCAAGTTGTTCATGGAGGAAAGAAATTTACGAGCATAATTGAGAATCTAAAGAAGATTTATCCGGACCGTAAAATGAAGGATATTTCAGTATCATTTTGTTTCATTTGTTTACTACATCTGGCAAATGAGAAAAATTTAAAGATAATTGGTGATGAAAATTTGTCTGAACTTAGGATATTATCAGAAACGGGTAGTAGTACAGTTTTTTAATTTGTGCATGAAATTACACTCTTCTGTCAAATAAATCGTTCCTCTCAAATCAAAATACCCGAATCTCATATATCGATCAAACTTGTCACCTTTCGTAAGAAAACCACGCTTAATTTAATTTAACGAATCTCGACCCTACATGCAGTCACACATTCAATACAACTTTGTATCGCGATTTACAAATTTGCAAGTTAATTGAATTTTGATGGTCGGTTTTACGATAAACTTTTAATTTCAGCTAACATTAACGTTAATCAAATTAGCAAATTAGCGAAAAAAATGTATCGTGCACGTGATTCGAAAATTTGAAACCCAAATAAAAATGTAGATCATTTTAAGTTTATATGTCATCATGTCACAAACGGTGATGTGGCTGATAAAACCGATCAAAGGATCGAGTCACATGCTTTATTTGTAAATTCGTGTATATATTAATTTTATTTTTAATATGAAATATAAATTTAAAATACTTTTTACCGATACTACAAAAAATTAGCCATTAAAGGATCTCGTGAGCTTTTCTCTTGTTAGTAGCAACGCCCTTTCTTTTTGCGGACTTTGTAGAAGTGGTTTCAACATGCGTCGTGTTGGTGATCTTCGGGTATTCTCTAGCTAAACTCACGGATGCTTTTACATATTCACTGAGACGGGGTTTTTTGGTGGATGGTTCGCGGAGACTCTTCAATCTTTCCTCCTTTACGCGTCGTCGTTCTAGTTCTTCGAAATAATCGGTCAGTCTATAGAAAAACGGATTGAAATAATCAAGACAATTATTTATTATATATACCCTTTTTTATATACCATAGCGTGAAAAAACAATACAAATCCAAGACAGCTATATGCCATTAAGAAATGTGTACGGAATAACTTACATTTTATTGATTGTTCGAGGGTACAATCGCGGATGGTTTCTTGACTCACAATTTTTCCTTTTTGATGGTTGTTTCCATACTGCAAATTCAGCGAGTTTTTTTTCGTGTTTAGAACAGTTCTCCCCGGTTGTGTATGAGGTAATATGGTTTATTTTTTATTGGATACCAAAATCATGGATAAAGAAAAAATAAGCGAATATCAATATAAAAGATCTTACTAAAAAAATACTTGCCTCGCCACCAACTATAATACAAATTCGTTGAGGCCTGAACTTTTTTGTCCAAATCGCGGAACGCTAAAAAATCATTAGCTTGTGAAGTAAAAGATAGATGAAAATAAAATTTGTATTAAATGATTGTGATTATTTAATGAATAAAATCTACTTAGCTTAGTCTTCGATACTTTCTCAATGGCAAGATATTTGAATCTCGCCATTTTTTTCCACGTTCTGTTTCTTTAGTGAGTCACGGTATGCTGAATGGTGACAAATAAAAGAAGAGAGGGAAAGCAAGTAATAATAGAGTAGAATAATAAAAAGAGATATAAATCATGTTTTATTTTACTAGTACAATTATAATTAAAAAGATAATTTAAATAATTAAAAAGATAATTAAAATAATAATTTAGTTAGATAGTCCTCCATTCTAATTTGACAGTCATTTGACTATTTTTTATTTTTCTGATAACAACTCCTTGAGTTTCCATTACCCTTTTTTCTTCCTTGGCCATTGCTTTGATTTCTTTTATCTCTTTATCTTCCGATTTTTTGAACAGGTACCCGAAAATATCATAATACATATCTGATATGTTTGTAAGCAACGAATTATGACTTGATAATTCTGCTTTATCTATGGCTTTCAATGAATAACCACTCTGAGCTAAGGTTACAAAGATCTCCAATACTTTATCCCTCAGGTATCTTGACATCACCCCTTCAAAAGCATCAATATCACTGGCATCAACTTTTGCAGTTATATAATTTTTGCATTGGACTAGAATCAGATAATTTTTATAATTTTCAAAATGTTCACACTACCATCGTCATCCAATACCCTATATGATAAATGTAAAAGATTTTATAAGTAAATGTTATCATTATCATCAAGGTAAATATCTCGGAGTCGAACACGAGTTATTTATCCATGTATCCTATTCACCACAACTTCAACACGAAGCTTTCGGATGATAAGATAAAAAAGAAGGACGTTCACAGGCGCGATTACTCGACTAATAACCTCTCACAGTGGCCACGATGCGCTTCCAGTTCTCTGCTATCATATCACCCTAGTGGCAGCGTAACTTCGGATACATAACAACTAAACAATTACTTAGTGAAATAAATGAATCTCACCGCACTCTGTAACAGTCAACATTCATTCTTCTCAATTCACTTAAAACTGCGACCTCAAACTCGTTTCCTTTAGTGACAGAAGAGGCAGCCATGGTTAGGGTTATTAAAGTTAATGTGTGAGGTTTTTTTTTTAATTTTCTAATTTGGGGAGGGAACGTTAATATTACGGATCGGAATCACGTGTACGGTACATTTTTTTAACAGCAGACGCGTAAATAAACAAACATAATCACACGAAACCTTATCATCATCCTTTCCAACATTCTATTTATATTTATTCTAAATCGAGTTTTATATTGTTTTTGTCAATCATGGAAGAAATAAAAGAAAATATCGGCAATAGGATCTCTATCTCACCAGAACGTCCAAAAACGCCAAACCACATTGGGACGTATACTCCTCTAAAGTCGGTAGATATTGTAGGAAATACAAATTCTACTCCCACTACTCCTACAGCACCTTCAAACTCTCCCATTGACGACAAGAAAAAAACTCCGCGCAAGTCAGAAAAACCTCTAGCTGAGGAGACACGAAAATTATTTTTGACGCCGGAAAAATTGGGTAGCATTAAACGTGCCCAATTGCAGAAATACTGTAAGCGTTATGGGATAAAAGCTAACCTAAAGGTATTTTGAAATCAAAACATACTTTTTGCATACACTGGCATTTAGCTCAAAACTCAAACAATAATAAAATAACTGGACGTAATTTTTCTACAGAATACGGAATTAATACAGAAATTACAAGAATACGCGCTAAATCATGAGAATCAGCCAAATGAAAATATTGATGATGACTTTTCGTCCTTTAATATTGCCGGTCTATCCGTAGATGATCCATTAAATCCACAGAAACAAGATCAAAGTTCTAAAGACGAGGAAATCACGATTGGCAATCAAGAAGAGGAGGATGGTAATTAAAGTATACATATTTTCTTGGCTAATATTTTGCGTGTCATACACAAAATTCTAAAATTTAGTTATTCTGAATACAGATTCTTTACAGCCAACAAATGAGTCCATAAAAAACGCGAGCATCACGCAATTCCCAAAAGAAATCGCTAGATTGAGTTTTGTAATGGAAAATAAACACTCTTCTATCCCATTACCTTCTCCTAGGATATCAAGTTTCATGGCGCGTAAAATTGCAACTCCCATCAAAAGATCGCCTTTGAGATATTCAATGAGTAATCAAAGCTCCTCAAGTGGAAAAAAACCAATTTATGATGAAAAATCTCCTTTGGTTGATCATTCTGCATCATCTAATCCAGAGATTCAAAATAACGAATCAATTAATGAAACTAATAGAAATACGTCATCTCCAAAGAAAGAAGAAACTCTCAATACACATCAAAATGATGCGAATCCTTCTGAGCAACAGCAAACAGAAGAGAATCAAGAATCGTATGATCCCTTGACATCTCCGGAGCCGTTCGTTTTCAATTCTGGAATGCGAGTAGATGACTCCACATTCCAAACAGCGGCAGCCGCTGTATTAGCAGAATTGGAAAGACGCGTCGCTGAAGTTCAGAAACTCCCTACTCCGGAAATCAAGAAATATCTGGGAGAATTGACACAATCGCCAAGAATGAAAAAATTATCACAGTCCATAGAAGAAGGCGAAGGGTTGACACCAAGTCGATTTAATAAACTACACAAAAAAAATTTCGACAAAATGCAATCTATTGTCAATCATTATGCTGCACAAAGAAGAAAAGCGGATGAAGAATTGGAAGTCTCTCCCATAAAGAAAAAGAAGTTAATTCACTCAACAAATGATCAAGACCTTGCGAAAACTTCTCAACCAATCTACGAGGACAAGAGTGATGAAAAAAATAATGAATCTGAAAATCTGCGAACAAAGCATCATAAAAAATCTTTGTTACGTCGGCCATCTGGCTTCAATAAGAATAGAAAACCAAAGGTGACAAGTGTCACAAAATCGGGAATTACGGCTCGTTTATCAACATTTGACTTTGATTCAAGACTGAAAAAGCCGTCAAGTTATAATATTGCACATGCAAATTCCAATAAGGCTTCGGCGTCGACATCTATTCCTATGAAACAAAACAAGGAACGCGTTGAATTCGGAAAACGAGAAGCCGCAAAAAATGGTATGCATAAAATATGATGATTAAATCAATCGTGATTTACTTATAATATTAATTTCTAATTAATGCTCATTCAGTTGTAGAACAAAAAATAAGAAATCCGAGCTCAATTCATCAAATACCTGAAAAAGCAAAGAGCAAAATTTCCTCTGGATTTGCTCAAGGAATTACAAAACCTGTATCTAATTTAAAGACCAAACCTCCTCCACGCTTAAATACTGCAAGCCAATCTTCTCAACCAAAAATCATTGGTAAAAACTCATCTTCTCGTCCGTTTTTCGCGCGTCAAATATATCAGCAAAATGCTACTAAAGGAAGTTACCGTGATAATACTACTACCATTACTGACAAACAAAAAACTAAAAAAGAAAAAGCGACATTAGAACAATTATCACAAGAAGAAATCAAGAATGAACTTGGGTTTAAAATCCAAAACAAATTCATGAAATCTCATAAATCGCAAGTGCCACCGTTCTCTCAAAAGAAAGTCGGTAAGAATAAGAAATGAAATTATGATGCAAGTCATTTATAAATAAAAATTACTGTGCCAAATCAAACTTGTATATAATATTAAATGTTAACAAAGATTATATTTGGTTTGGATTCTGCTGAGTACTTGGAATTATCAAGCTACATTCTAGCTCTTATTTTTGACTTGACTTTTTATTAAATTTTATTATTGCACCACAAAAATGTCAGAAATATCAAAGTTGTCCTAGCAATCGCGTGTAGTATATTAACTATTTTAAAATGATTTCATTAATTTAATTTTTGACAACAGTTGACCCGTCCAAATTAATTACATACTATTTACGTGTTCAACAACAACATATCGTTATCCAACAAAAGCCTATTCTGTGAATTCGACAAAATATTTGCGATTTCACGTGCTGTCTCAATTCTTCGTAGTTCAATGAATCCAGGTTTATTTTTTATCGCTTCACCGAGCAATTCTGCGGATTTTGCTTCTCCCTCTGCTTTGATTATGATTGATTGTTTTTCCTGTCTCGCACGTTCGACTACAAAAGCTGCCCGTTGTGCATCTTGTTGCGCGATTTGTTTTGCTTCTACGGCGTGAGTGAATTCTGGTGAGAATGCGACGTGAGTGATTGATACGTCGTCTAAAATTATGTTGAATCGTAGTGCTCGTCGTGTTAAGTTTTCACGAACGAGACGTGATACCTAATTAATAAATTAATTATTAATGGTTATTTATGTCAGAGTAATTGTTAATCTTTTTATTATTATTACAATTTACCCTTTCACGTTGTGTAATTAATTGTGAGGCATTAAATTGCGCGACCACCGATTTCAAAACTTCATTAACGATCGAAGGAAGAACACGTTCATCATAATCGGTGCCAAGAGTTCTATAGATATTGGCTAATTCACTAATATTCGGTTTGGATAAGACACGACAAGTGATATTTACCATTTGAAGATCTAAAAATAAAAAAAAATAATAAAAATATAATAAATCAAGAAAATTTCTCAGATTTGCCTACTACATTTCTACCTTTCGTTCCAGTCAATGATGCAATGTTCCTTGGCTTTGCTCGTACATCATAAACAATCGGTGCCTCAAGCCATGGGATCATTAAATGTGTTCCTTCATTATAGATGCGTTGTTGCACACCAAATAATCTTGTGTATTTGATTGCTCGATGACCACCATCAACTTTTTTTGAAAATAATTAGGGCAGAGTAATAAATAAACACGTGAATAATGAAAAATGATGTGAATGTGTGAGACCCTATTTGAATTTTTCAATAATTTATTCAGAGAAGAAATTGCCATTTTTTATGGCCATCGATTTCTTATCTGATTATCTCTTTAATTCGTTGTTTTCCTTGGGTATTTTTGCTGAGCTATTTTTACCAAAATTCAGTAATACAAAACTGAACAACTCACCGTTAAACAAACTAGCATTTATTCCCACACCTAGAAGACCCAATGTAACAATGGCACCCACTCCTGTAAATGCTCCTTTACCAGGGCTACCTTTTGGCAGAAAACCGGTCAGTCTGTTTATCGCCTGTTTGCCAGGTGAAGCCATATAATAGATTCCTGTTGAAATTATAAAGTATCGATAAAAATTTACATAAATACGTATTCGGTATTAGTCACGATTACTCAAAAAATGATCTTGTTCATCAGATTATTTTTATTATTGTTATAATAAATTAGGGTATTAATTAATTATTAATGTACATTCATAGAAAATAGACTATATTAGTTTTTTGAAGAGGGTTTCCGATACACGACAAATACACGTTTTCTATCCTAAAGATTCTATTACCTAAAAAAACATTTCATTATCCTCATCGTCATAGTCGCCATTAATTTCTCCTTTGCCATTAGCATTACCAATATTATTCAGAAGAGGCCATCGCTCCCAAACTTTCCTTATTTGTCCTAATTCAAACACCGGCTCATAGATATGATGTTTAATAAGTTCAATTAGACACCATACATTTGCGGCGAAAAATGCCAGACTTGACATCCATATTGCAAAATATGTGTTTTCACCTTGGAATTCTAGTTGATACGCTTGATACAACCAGAGAGTCTAAAAATAAATGCAATTTGGTAGTGATTAGATTAGAAATAAAGAAATGAGAATTTTCAGATTATTAATTATTGTTTATTACCTGTGTCCCAACCCACGCGATCAACATAAGTAGACCTTTGTATCGGAAAGTGATGGTGGATGATGGAATGATCAACGGGAATAAACAAATATACCACATGAAATACTGCATATATAAAAAATATGTGAATATAAAGACGAGATAATCACAAATTGTTGATTATGTGGTTACCTGTGAAGTACAAACTCGATTATACACGACAAACACAAACGTTTGCACAAAACACGCAAAGAAAATATCTTTGCCAAAAACTAAACCCAACAACATCACCGAGGAAATCTGTAAAGTTGTTAGCCAACTCAACAAAGACAATATACTCGAAGATCCGAAATTGTTGTAGGTGAGATAGATGTAGTAAAACCATAATGAAAAATTATGGCGATGGTCTTTACGGATCAAATGGTAAAGATATGTTTCTTGGAGAACTTCTTGACCATATCTGGTTATTTGGCAATTCGCGCAAGAAAGAGTGTAGAAAGAATGGAGATAAATAGAAAAGAAAGAGAAAAGCTTAGATTAGACGAGATATACACACACATATAATTAATCAAATACGTACAGGTAATACATTACACCATTCAACAAGAAAAACACGCCGCCACTAATTAATCCAAATTTGATACGTGTCCAAGTAACAAACATGCCTGCTTGCCCGGTCCAATATTGCCTAGTCCATCGTGGATACGCCTTTTCTTTGCCTTTTCGCCGAATTCCCCAATAATCTTCATCATCCAATAAAATCAGTAAAGACCCAACATAAATTATCGGGTAAATTTTGAAATGCACAGCGAAACCATATAAAATACTAGCTGCCACAAAACGCTTTGTTAATACCCAATATAGAGTGAGTAATACCAAAGCCCCAAGCAGACTTTCTGCGTTCCCACGGGTTGATATATTAGCCACTATCGGATTTAGTAGCCATAACGACGAGTATATAACAGAGCGTTCCTCAGGCAGTCCACGGAGTCTTAGGATCCTGTAAAGGAGAACGCCAACGAAAAAGTCGGCTAAGACAAAAATAAGTTTACCGAATATGGGGTGAATGTGTATGTTAGGAGTGAGAAGGAAAGCTAGGAGTGGAGTGTAGCGATAGGTGCTACGTTCGTAAGGGCTTTCGCCTTGAGTAACAAGACGCGCGGCGTCTGTGAATACTTTATAATCAATGTCAGTGTATTTCACTTGGAAATTCGCGTCTTGCCATTCTCCATATATGAGAAGTGCAAGACGAATCAAAAATGCCAGAATGCACATTAATGTGAATGTTAACTTTATTAATGCCATTCTATGAATCAAAGAGCAATAGAACTATGCTCAACAAAAGATTGTATGTTTTGTCTCGTGTCGCAATTTTATCTGTAGAATATCGATACGTGGCATCATATCTCTTATTTTTTTATGAATTACATGTACATGCAAATGTTCACATGTTATTTAAGTGATGACGGTTGGCTCATTTCGTCCAGTAAATGCTGGTATTTGCGAGATTTCTAATGCGACATCTATCAAAGGTTTTAATGCCTTTTGTGTGTCTGCTTCATATTCTAAGGGGTCTTTTGAATATTTCTCAACGTATAAACGTACAGTTGCCCCGTGACTGCCTGTACCACTGAGACGTGAAACAATTCGAGAACCATCTTCAAAGAATATTCGGATTCCCTTTATTATTAATGAAAAGAAAGCAATTATGATTTATTTATTAATTTGTATAAAATAATTTAATTGTTAACACATGAAATGCTTACCTGTTTCTTTGAACTACTACCGTCGATTGGATCGTGATATTCAAAGTTATCGGCATCTTTAACAGTGAAATTTCCATATGTTTTGCCAATAAATGAGTCTCGTTCAGTGCTAATCAACTTTGTTAAATGGTTGATAACATTATTGCCTTGTTGTTCTTCAACTTCTTCATAATCATATCTGTTAACAATAATGATATTTAGTAAAATTTCAGAAATACAGGATTATTTGATAATAATACTATTAATAACCTTGCGAAAAAGTTTCGTCCATATTCATTAAAATGTGCAAGAAGAATTTCTTTAATACCAGTTCCCGGTTTCTTTTCATTCGCACTAGCGATAATGTTGAGCCAAGCTAAAAATATGAAAATAAAAAGGGTCAATATTTTTGATTTCTTCAGGAGATGATAGTTAAATAAATGTTATTCACCTAAAACAGCCCAAATACCATCTTTTTCTCGGATGTGATCAGATCCAGTACCAAAACTTTCCTCACCACATATTGAAATGCGACCAGCATCCATAAGATTACCAAAGAATTTCCATCCTTGAATCAACCTCAACGTGTCAATTTCGAACTGTTTCTTTTTTTGTTAAAAAACAAATTGAACTCGACTTACCAGTTGGCGTTTCAAAACATTCTATTCCTTTTTTCTTTGCCACCAAATCGACAGCTCCACTTGTTGGCATACTTCGTGCAACACCTTTTAACCCAGTTCGCTTAAAATATGGAATGATCTCTGCATTGGCAGTGATAACAGCCAAGGAATCAGATGGATTAACGAAAACACTTTTGCCATATATCAAATTACGATCTCCATCTCCATCTGAAGCAGCTCCGAAATTAATATTTTCTTTTTCTACCCGGTCTACTAAAGATCGTGCGTATGTAAGATTAGGATCAGGATGACTACCACCGAAATCGGGTAAAGGTATAGCATTTTGAATGGAAGTCGAAGGAAGTCCAAGTTCTTCCACGAATATTTTTTTAACATATGGTCCAGTAACTAGAATTAAAGATGGATTCTAACTTATTAAATTCGATTTAAAGGTAATAAGATTGCATCAAATCTCAAAAAAATCTACCTCCATGTAAACTATCAAAAAGAACTTTATAATCTGGATTTTTTTGAAAGAATTGTTTAATCAATTCGAAATCAAAGATTTCTTTGACCAATTGTACATAATCTTCCACAGAGTCGACCACTTCAATTGTAAAATCCTCGCCATATCTCTTTGTACCAAGCTCTGAAAGATCAACCTAATAAAATAATATAAAAAAGTTAAATATCTTTGTTAAATAATCAAAAATAAGAAAACAGTAAATAGCACCTCTGGCAATCCAGCAATATGATATTCCTTTATTTGCTTAGATAATTCGTATATTCTATCGGTGACTTTTTCGGGAGCTGATCCACCATTGCTAACATTAAACTTTATACCAAAATCATTATCAGGGCCTATTATATTTTTAATTGGTTAAATGCGTGAAATTTCAAATTGTGAATTTTTTATAAGCTTATAATTATATAATATTACCGCCTGGATTATGAGAGGCAGTTAGAAGAAAGCCACCGGTAGCATGACGTTTTCGAATAAGATTTGATGCAGCAGGGGTTGATAAGATCGCATTTCGTCCAATTATCAATTTAGAAACCTGATAATTTTATTTTTAACGACTATAGCATTAAATTCATTTCATTTATAATTCTTTCGGAAAAGATATATAATAAAGGTATTTTTAAATCAGTATTTATTCTTACACCATTGCCAGCCGCAACGCGTATAATAATTTGCGCAGCTTCTTTTGTATAATATCTTCCATCACCACCAACAACCAAGGTAGCGCCTTTCTTGCCGGGACTCGGCATGGCATTCAATGAGGCCTGAACAAAGTTGGCGGTATAATGTTCTTGTTGAAACACTTTGACGCGCTTTCTCAAGCCACTAGTCCCGAGCTTTTGACCCTCGAACGGAGTGGTGACAACAGTATTAATGACAAAAGTACTCATTATTGATAAGCTTTACTAATATTAATACTAGGGAAAGTTAATTTTAAAGAACAAGGCTTTATATATAGTTCATCTATGATAATGCAATATTACAAAATATTGACTCAAATATTTTATTCTTGTCACATGTAGCTTTAGGAGTCATTCTAATTAACGTTAGTATACTACATATAAAAGACATTTCTCGCCCATATAAATTGGCCGAAAAATTAACAGAATTTGGGTAGAGTTTACTTAAACCCTAACCATGGCGAGAAAAGTGTCGGATCATGTGATATTTGTGTATGTCCAAAAAAGGTTATCGTTATTGTTAAAGGTTAGGATTAGGGTTAGGGCTAGAGCTGGAGCCGAGCCAAGATTATATGTAAAATTGCCTTCCTGCCATTTTTTGCTTTTTCATTTTCTTTGTTTTGCCGGACTGATCAAACATTTATTGGTTTGTGCCACCAGCAACACGTGATCAGTACTTTTTTATCACCATGATACTATCAATAATAACATAATATTACGTGCGCGTTCCGTTTGGAACGCCGATCACTTGCATCTAAAGCCCAATTCGAGTAAAAACCTCATTATTTTTCATTGATATATTTCAACCAATTTTACAGATACATGCATAATTAAAAATTTTAAAGCCCGATTTGGAAACTTATTTTTAAATAAAATATCAGAATACCCATATAATTCAAGATAATTACTACATGATAAAATCACACTTTCAATTAAATCAACAGTGAACCCAGTGATCCGGGATAAGAAAATGTTCATGAAACTAACCTCGGCCAAATGTAATTCTTTTTCTCTAGTTTTGATTGCTAAATCGACGAGATCATCTTCGATCTTATCCCAAAATACTCCAACACCTTTGCAGTGATTGTGATGACCCTTTACAATATTATCGAAACGAAATTAGTATGCCAACTTGTGTTAAATTTTTTATATCTGCACAATGCAGACCTCAACGGACACCGTAACGAACACTTTCGACCATAAAGTGAGCAACACGTTCGATGCCTACCGTAGTTACGTGAGTTTTATCCCTTCTCGGAACTACTGGGAGTCTTCCATACTGCATCTTTACCCATGCATTCAAAATAAAAATGAAAACTTGCCTCAAAGTTTCGCTTCAGCCGATCAGCACCCTTCCTAACCTCTTCTGAACTATCCTTCACCAGAGAATCCAGACTCTTCCGGAGCCAGTAGGCTTCTTTCTGAAAAGAAAACGCGAAATTATCTTGTTTTGACAGTGTTTATAAAAGCCTATTCTTCATCGAAGTATGGTTCATGCCATCAAACAATTTTCATATAATTTACATAATTTCAAATTGTATCCAATTTTGGTAAGATTAAAAAACTAAATCATAGATTAAGTAGTTCTCTTTCAGATTTACAGTTGAGTTATTCAAATGGTAAAATTTAATGAAAAAAATAAATGAACTGTTAAATATAATATTCAACAGATAGCTAATGAAGTAATTCCCTGGGAATATGTAGATAATTGGGATGTTACATATGATCGAAAATTTTCTTGGCATTTATTTTATCACGTGGTTTTACTTTCCTCACATGATAACATCAAGAATTAATGATTTTTTTATATAACAGAAAAATTATTCCTTTGCTTTTCTTGTACGAATTATGCGACCTTGTTCGCAAATAGAATAATCCATAGCACGTAATGATGTTCATCGGTTTCGATATAATCTTGACTTTTCGATAAATATTTCATAACGGATTTTTCGAATACGATGTAAAGTTTCCTATCAAAAAAAATAAACAAAGATTAACAAACCATATAGATGTAATTAAAGTGAATGAGATAATCTACCTCCACACGTAGCAAAGATATTATAAACTTCTCTATAGCTGGCAAATAATCAATTGATGTAGGTAGTTTAACCTTTTGTAATAAACCTAAACGCCAAACACCTTTACACCTCCAGTCCAGTCCATATATATTATAATTATAATCTAAATTGAATAGATCAGTTATATATCAAGAATGTAGCGGAAAAAACAATCAAAGTGATTGAACTTACTGTATGAGTGTACTCTAAGAACAAAAGTTTTTGGAACCTGCTTGGATCTACACCATTCTTTTCAATACCTTCATAGACCAACACATCCCGTAATGAAACAGCTAAGTCAACCTTATCCATCCATTTTTTCCCTTTTGTTGCTGTAGGAAGACCCCAGATCTTAAACCAATTAACGTCTCAAATTGGTCTTTACTAATCCTGAAATCAACTCTTTGACCGATTAAGCTTCTTTCTGTGGGCTTTGTTGTGAGGTTGGAAATTACAGACGAAGCAAGACTTTGAATCTCACCTCTGTGCATAATAAATTAATTCAAATTAGCAAATGTATAAACAACGAATATCCAATGAAAAACTTACTCTTCATTATGATAGGTTTGGCCAAAGGTCAATATCCCTTATGTTCGTGAAATTGCTTCCAAACGCGACTTCAGACATTGGCAATTGTAAACGTTGAAGATTGTATGCACTATTTAATTTTAAAATTGTTAAATATTATAACCATCAAAAAGCCATAATAGAATAGGCAAAAAACTTACTAAGTCTGAATAAGTCGTCTAATGGCGTTTACTTTATATTCTCCTATAAATGATTATCCTTAGACCTGCACTTTCATAAGAAACCAAATACAGTGATATACGTACTTCAATTACACAGCTTTCAATGCCGGTAATTAGGTCATAAGGATTCTTTGCCAATACCTAGAATAAGAACAGAGAATGAGATGATATGCTAAATAAAAGATAATACTACAAATTCACTAAACTCAGTAATTTTGTCCATTAATTTATAAAACGGTTCATCTTGTCCAGGTTCCAAATCACTCAAATTTACATTACTTTTAAAATCTTTAATCATCTCATTCCATTCGTCATCTGTAAACAAATTTTTTACTTCGATATCCTCTCCAGAAAGATCTAATATTCCAAAATAAGCCGGACTATAAATAAAAATATTAAAAGTTAAGAAGCAGGCACTGGAAAATATGTTTACGCTTACAAATCAAGTGTAACTTACTAGAGGTATGCCTTTGTGCGAGGAATTTTTTCACGGTATTTAGATAATATTACACTAACATCTCTCCCACTCGACAAAATCCAACTTGTAATGGGATCAGTCAAGGTCTAAATTAAAAGAAAGGATGAATATTAGGTAAACACAAAAAAGAGATAATAACATAGATATTAATATACAAACCTTTTCTATTGAGATTTCTTCTTCAAAGTACTCTTCATAATCCCGGAATACCTTATGATCGTCGGCATCGCTATCTGTTAATACGATGTTTGAATCCTTACTGAATACTTTGTTGTCATCAAAATCCACCTCATCATTTGGATCTGTTTCTGATTTGTCACCAGTATCGTCATCAGCAATTCTCCTTTGTTTGGATTCATAATAATGTGTATTTTCAGGCTGTTGCCGTTTTTTGCTATTTCCAGCATACGACTTTCAAAAAACTGGTAAGTAAAATAATAAGCATTCAGTAATCAGTTACAGTATGTGCACCGAAATAAACTTACGTTGGCTAAGTCTTGAGTATGAGCATCACTTAATACAGTTTTATCTTTGATGATATTTGTCATCGCCCGTATTTCATACATTTCCTAATTTGTATATAAGTCAGACTATTAACCCAGAGTGACGAATGCTTTTAACACTTACATTTGTCTGAGAAAGATCCAATTTATTGAAGTACTATCAGATTTCGGAATTCATCCAAGTGGACTCGAATTTGGACTCGATATATTCTAATTTACGTCTTGCACCTCGCTAATAATGAATTTGATATACGACGTGTTCCAATTATATTTTTTATAATGGTCGCGACTTCGTCCGCGCTGTCAGACGTGAACATAGGGTTTTGTATCGAATACAAGCAACCTAGGATCTCCATTCGGAGTATTTAACAGTGTCAAAGTAGTTGTTGATCTAGATAACATTGAAGGATAATTAGCTTAATAACCAGCCTGCGTTTAACGTGTCCAATAATATATAACTAGGAACTTTGTTTCAATAGCAACTGGTCAGCAAACGCTATGGAGTAGGTGACAATGTATACACACGTGTCAACAAGGCAGGTATCCTGAACTATTGCTGCCAAACATCGGCCGAAAGGGGTCGCGAGCATGAACTTACGGTGGTGCACAATCGGTGCGTAGGATATTGCTGGAAGTTCATAATATCACAATATACATTTAATAAAAAAATCGAGAATCAATATATATACGCGATTCGCACAATTCCTTCGGCAAGAATTTTACCGAACATCTTACTGCGCATTTCAGGTGATCAATCCACATGACGCTCGGATGGGTTGACTGATCAATAATAATGTTCTGAAAATTACCAGAAAATAATGGATAGATAGTCTCCCGTATTTACATGTATATTATTTTTATTTATATCAATAAAGTGATCTTTATTTTTTCAGATGTTTTTACAGAGTCAAAATATTTATTGTATCGAAAAATTATCTTTCTTCCTTATTAATCGATTCCATATGAGATAATGGCTATCTATCTCCTACATCATACATACTAACATCACTCTTGGGTTGACTACTAGTAACAACCTCATAAGATGGTGGCTGGAGAGATGAAGGCTCAGTATTTTGCTTAGAATTATCCACATCAGGATTGTTTATTGTGTTGCAAAGAAGAGATAAAGTTAATTATTTTTTTATAATTAAAACATATAAAAAAATAATTGACTTTATATGTAATTAGAGCAGCTTTATCAGATTAAATCTAAAAAAATATATGTTAAAATATGTGATATTATCTTCATTTTAATTTAAAAATAAATTAACTTTTATTAGTAAAATTGAAAACTTTTATATAAAGAGAAAAATCCATATTTAATTAATAAATTTTGACATAATTATATTATTTCTGATTGCTACTGTATTTCATAAAAAATTTTTACTAGTAATAACTTTTTTGAATTCTTATCTATAAATTTTACTATATAAACTTTGATTAAAATTAATATAAAATATATAAAATAATAATTTAATTATTAAATTTTGAAACTTAATTTTGTAATAATTACTAATTTAATTTTTATGAAATTTAAAATATATTTTATTAAATATATAATAATATACTTGTATAATTTGAAATTCTAATATTAAAAGTTAATAAAAATAATACTTAAATATATTTTTTAAAAAAATAATTTTTTATTTTATTTTATTTTTTTAAAAAAGTATTACTTTATTTATTATTGAATAAAAATATAAAAAATAATATAAATAATATAAGTAGTTAATTTAAATTATTCTTTTACTTAGTATAAAAAAATTATAGAGTTTAGTTAAATTTTGAGTGATTTTTATTAGAAATAATTATTAATTTTTATTTTGAGATACAAATTTTTTTGCATCAAATTATAATAATAATAATAATAAATAAATAAATCTAGTTGATTTTTAAGAAGATCATATAATTTTACTAATATATATTTTCCAAGCTGAAAATAACTTGTTTATTAATTCTATAAATTTTATATACTTACAAATAAATCTGGGTAATTAGTCACATTATAATTATTTATTATGAATTTTTTAATAAATTTTTTTTATTAATAATTTGTAATTCTTATTTTATAAATTAAATTAGTTTAAAATTAGAATGTAATTATATTGTAGCAAATAGAAATAATAATAAAATAATAAAAATAATAATAATAATATAAATTATAAAAATTTTCAATTATAATAATATCAAAAATTTGCTTATTTATTTTTAATAAAAATATTTAATTAAAAATAAATTAATAATATAATTTAAAAAAATAATTAAAACTAATTTAAAAATATAACTAAATAAGTTTAAATTATAATTATACTTCTTCAAATATTTTAGAGATCTATTTTTATATTTTATTATTAAATACTTTAATATTTAAACTCAAATAAGTTTAAATTAAAAATTCTAAAATTTTGTAATTACAGTTAATGTAACAATTTTAATATACTCTTGTAATTTCTTGTATTATATCTATTCTTTTTCGTGTTATATTTATCATTTTTTGCATAATATGTTAGAAATTAATACAGATCTACATTTAATACTTCTTAATATTGTACTAATTAGATTAGATGTAAAATATAGATCATATTATTAATTTGAATACATATTGTTTTTAATTACTTTTATTTTTAT